ATACAACTATTTGAAAATCTGGAATCTGAGGGTGCAAAAAAATCTAAATATTGAGAAAATTGCCTTTAAAGTTATCAAAATGAATCAATGCATATTACTAATCAAAAATTAAGTTTTAATATATTTAGAGTAGGAAATTTACAAAATATCTTCATGGAACATAATCTTTACTTAATATCCTAATGATTTTTGGCATAAAAGAAAAATCAATAATTTTGACCCATACAATGTATTTTTGGCTATTGCTACAAATATACCCCAGCGACTTAAGACTGGTTTTGTGGTCCAGGGTCACATATCATACTAAACCAACATGCATCAATACTGCATTTAGCTCACATTGCCATACACTCAAACATCTCTGACATTTCCACTCTCTGTCTTTGTTCCTGAGAGACAGCAGATGCGTCGTAAACAGCAAGGGGCGACTTACGTCTCGGAGAACTCCACCGGCTTACTCTTGATCTTATTGTGAAGTGCCAGTATGTACTCATCAATAAATGGGCACTGGAGGACGAGGAAGAAAAACATAGTAGGAGAGAGAGAGAGAGGAGGGAGACGGATGAGTGATCAAAATCATCCATCACAAATGTCACTGCAGTAGCACACTGCCCCATCCATTGATCATTCTGATAGATAATCCCACAATGAAGAATTACTGCTATCACTCTGATCATATCAACACATGAGCCGACTCACCTTCCCATACACAAAACAGTAGAGGGTCACTCCCATAGCCCACACATCCAGAGCCTGAAAAAAAAAACACAACTTCTGCTTTAGTGATGCAGGAGAGTTCTACACTTTTGAGATATTGAGATGAACAGAATTCCTTAAAGGGACAGTTCATCCAAAATTTCCATTCTGCTCAAAAGTGAGGGGTTCATACATTTTGTTTTTTAAAGAAAGTAATATTTTAATTCAGCAAATACACATTAAAATGATCAAAAGTAACAGCAAAGGATTAAAAAAAAAAAAGTATTTTAAATAAATGCACTTCTTTTTATCACACCCTGAAAAATGTTTTCAACATTGCTAATAATAAGAAATGTTTCATGAGCACCAAATCAACATATCAAAATGACTTTTGAAGAATCAAGTGACACTGAAAAATTCAGCTTTGCCATCAAAGAAATTGATTTGATTTTAAAATTTGAAAATAGAAATCAGTTATTTTAAATTGCAATATTTCACAATATTACAGTTTTAAATGTATTTTGATCAAATAAATGCAGCCTTAGTCGGCAAAGAAGACTTTTTAAAAGTCTTCTGCACCCCAAACTTTGGAACGGCAGTGTAGCTCTATGACACGTTCATGAAAGAAATAGCAAAGTCCCATTCAAAAATAAAGTGTTTATTTAAAGGGATAGTTCACCCAAAAATGAAAATTCTGTAATTAATTACTTACCCTCATGTCGTTTCAAACCTGTAAGACCTTCGTGCATCTTTGGAACACAAACTAAGATATTTGTGATGAAATCCGAGAGCTTTCTGACCCTCCATAGACAGCAATGAAACTGAAACGTTCCCAGGCCCAGAAAGGTAGTAAAGACATTGTTAAAATAGTCAGGACATCATTAAAATAGTCAATGTGACATCAGTGGTTCAACCGCAATTTTATGAAGCTATGAGAATACTTTTTGTGTGCATTCCTCTGCTTGTAAACAAGGGTTCAGAACATCGGCTCCTGTGTCAGAAGCACCACATGCATGTGTCATGGACTGATATGGAAGTGAAGAATTGTTGAATAAAGTTATTTTTGTTTTCTTTGCACACAAAAAGTAGCTTCATAAAATTACGATTGAACCACTGACATCACAAGGACTATTTTAACGATGTACTTTCTAGGTTTCTGGGCCTAGGAACATTTCAGTTGCATTGCTGTCTATGGAGGGTCAGAAAGCTCTCAGATTTCATCAAAAATATCTTAATTTGTGTTCCGAATTTGCGTTCCTGAATGACAGAATTTTTGGGTGAACTATCCCTTTAAGCCATTTTATAAAGCTTAATCAGTCTGAATGATTGGCCTATCACAACACATATTAGCAAAATCACCCCAGACACACATTACCTTTCCACTAAAGCTCTTGCGGTTGTCCGACAGCGTCTCTGGGGCCATGAAGGCAGGAGTACCAGCAGTGCTGCAGAGCAAGGCATCATTACCCTCGAACTGGTTACTAACCCCAAAATCTGCGATCTTAACATGGCCGTCATCTCCAAGTAATAAATTAGATGGTTTGATATCTCTGTGAACGATCTTCTGATAGTGCACTGAGCAAAAAGAGAGAGAATAAGAGAAGTAGTGAAATACATCAAAAAGAATGAGAACAATGAGCCATTTCAAAAGTGGAGTTTGCTGACAATTAGCTTTAAATCTCAGAATTTTTTCAGACTTTACAAAACAAATGTTATATTTAAATCAAAACATTTGACATATATTCATGTGAGGATCAGTCTTCTTATTTCAACACCAGAATAATGTATGTTCAGGGCTCGCAAAATTTCAAAATCGCTGGTAGCCCTTCGGGCAGACATTCTTCAGATTTTGGTAGCCCAAAATGAATTTAAGTAGCCCGAAAAAAAAAAAAAACGACATCGCCTGAACTTCACTGCGGACAAATCAGCATGATTAAAAACTTCAGTGATCGCTTTTTTCTTCAAATAACAAGTCAAGAGAGTAGGGGTGCATCGGATCACAAAACCTACGGCTCGGATCATATTGCATTATCATATCAGATTTCGAGTAACAGATCAGATCAATTTGCAGATGAGCAAAAAAATATGGTTCTTTATTATTTAAATAACAGAATACTTCTTTGATACCACGGCAAAAACTAGTAGCATATAGGGATGTAATGATTCACTCAACTCACGATGCAATGCGATTCACGATACTAATTTCACAATACGATTTTCTCACAATTTTTCTTTTTAACAAAATGAGATTTAAGACAAATTATAAATGAAACGGTGTCCTTTTATTATTTCTCCAACAAAATGCTGAACATTTCTTTGTGAAATTGAAATATGTCCAATAATAAAACTAACTTGAAATTGTAAACCAAATCCCAAATTAAATAATTAAATAACACAAATAAAATAAATCTCTTCATATAAACAAACTAATGCTTTGGCTGTGCTTTTTCCATTTAAAATCAGAGGCAACCACTAAATAATACAAATAAAATAGATATCTTCATATAAACAAACTAAGGCTTTGGCTGTGCTTTTTCCATTTAAAATCAGAGGCAATCACTGCATTTTAATCACGATCCAAACAAAGATGCTAAATACATGTTATTTAGATTGCAATTAAATTTTATAATTTCGAAATTTGAAGCAAAAACAGAATGGTTTGATTTTAGCTTTGAGAATGAGATGCAAATATCACTCTCTGACAGCAGGTGGCGCTTATGAAACATCAGGTATTTATAGGCTGCTGCCCCTTTAAGACCGAATGCATGGATCCAATATAATGATGCACTTAAGATTTCTCTCTCCACTGTTTAAGTTCACCTAAGACATAACCGACTGTGTTTACGAGAATACTTGCCGAGACAGTTATTTTTAGTTAATTTTGTGTGTATGTGTTCATTCAGATGCAAGGATATGCGAAGGAGGAATCAATTCTGTGTACGCGCATTGTCTGAAACACGGCTCTCTGTGTGCGCTTTGAATGAGTGCGCGCAGCTCCGAATGCGCGTGAATGGTTTAAAACACTTGAATGTTTAAATCGGCAAGACTTAGAAACACGTGCAAACGATCAACTATGATCCGTTTTACCCCTACAAGCTAGTGAACAACGCAAATCAAGGAAGGAATTTTACATCACTGTTCAAGCCCGTTGGGCAGGGTGGTGAAACATTTTGGTAGCCCGACTGGAAAACACAATAGCCCCGGGACGTCGGGCTAGCGATTTTGCGAGCCCTGATGTTTCATCAGTGACTAACTCTGATCACTTAGCCTAGCAGGAAATCTGAAAAAATTTAAAATATGAACAAAATGTGTAATACAAATCCATACTTATACTGTACAAGTTACTTATTTTTGACCAAAATGTCAGTTTTAACCTGCTTTTTGGATGTTTAATCATATTAAAGTTTAATAACGATACTAAGTTGAGCACAGCCAGTGAAGAGGAGGTACAAAATCAAGTGTGTCTGACAACAGGAGCTCTCGGCTTAACTAAGGAACCGCAGACAGGTTCAAGAAGGTCCCCCTGGGCCGTGCACACAGAAGATGAATTTGATTGGTTAATAGATGCCTTCCTGTCTCAAGTGGTCAATCAAAGATAACCTGCCCACCACTTATCATCTTTCAGTCATCTGCCATTGCTGGTTATATGTGACAAGAGCCACATCTCAGACGTCTTCAGATGGTAATGAAAAAAGAAAATCCATTAACGAACAAAGACATGTGTTCAAAGTATTAGCAGGTTATTGCATATAATTATTTAATCAAAGTCAGCAAGCAAGGTGAATGTGACACATGGAGTACACCACAGTTCATGCAAGATGTCTCTCAAGCAGTGTACGTAGCATAACCCCCCCCCCCCATCTTTTATTTTAA